CAGATCATCAATTCCAGGGCTCCATATGCACATGTATGCATACACGCATGTACACACACACGCACAAACACAGGAAAAAACAAAAGACTGGTGAAATGGTTCGATGGGTAAAGGCACTTACTTAATCGTCATTTATATAACAATTTATATATCTATATACAAATTCAGTTTACTTGAATTCAAATCCCTGGAACCCACATTAAGGTGAAAGGAAAGAACTGACTCAAAAAAGCTGCCATTTGCCCAACACATGTATATAAACACACATATCATGAACACCCACACAACAGTAATGAATACAATTTAAAAGTAATAACAACAAACTTTAATACCATACTGGATTACTGAAAGGAAGACTGAAATATCAGAGACCCAAGAAAATTTTAGAATAACTATATAGGAAAATATTATTAGATGTCAAAAAAGAATTTCCTAAAAGTCAGTTTTTAAAAATCTCATTACAGAACTTTTCCAGTATATACAAAAATTAAACAGGGGGTGGGGGATAACTTATATACTCCTATGTACTCATAACTCAGTGTAGTGAGAAATTTAGAAGAGTCACTGATTCTGGTTTAAACATCAAAATGAAGTCATTGTTTTTAGGTGCACTCAGGCTTTGAAAAAAATCATTGTGAGCTGGGCTGTGGTGGCGCACACCTTTAATTCCAGCACTCGGAAGACAGAGGCAGGCAGATATTTCTGAGTTCGAGGCCAGCCTGGTCTACAAGAGCTAGTTCCAGGACAGGCTCCAAAGCTACAGAGAAACCCTGTCTCGAAAAACAAACAAACAAAAAAACAAAAAACAAAAAGAAATAATAGCACACTAAATGATATAGTTCAAAATTATGAATTTTGCTCTTCCAGTTCATTTACTATGAAAATTCAGCATTCATTTAAGCATTAGTTAGATGATCAGAAAAAGAGAACATCCTCCATCTATGAATACTAATACTCTGGCAATTGGCTTAGTACTTTATGCCATGGCTGTGATTGTTTCTGCACTAGAAGTAGGGTTTAATTGTTTTCTCCCATGAAGGGACTGCTGACACCGAGCTACTCCTGATACAAGGGGGGGAAAACATTTCCCATAAAGGAACTTTTAATACTGAGTTATTCACACTACGAGGAAAAAACAAAAAACATTTAAACAAAAACCAACAAACAAGAAAATTCTAAGTTCTGGGCCAGCTGTGCTACTTCATGCTGTAGCAGTAGAGCCCTGCCCATCACTCCTTGGAACTCAGATGTTGCCTCTCTACACTGGTGGGGCCCTAGACAGAAAGGGTTGACAGGCAGCTAGCAGCCAGAAAGCTCTGAGTTTCCCTTATATCTTTCAGAATAATTCTATTCTGAGTAGTCTAGTTATTTAAAATCTGTCTTACATAGGGTAAATGTATTCCATATGCCACTGCTTCCTTTTTATTTTTTTCCCTTCAAGACAGGGTTTCTCTGCAGCTTTGGAGCCTGTCCTGGAACTAGCTGTTATAGACCAGGCCGGACTTGAACTTACAGAGATCCGCCTGCCTCTGCCTCCCAAGTGCTGGGATTAAAGGCCTGCACCACCTGGCAGCCACTGCGTCCTTAAACTGCCTTAAATCTGTCATTTTTGCAGGTCTCCAATCAATCTGAACATAACCCTGAGGATACTGATAATTTGCAGGCACTTGCGGCAGAGTAACTGGAAACATCTGAGGTGGTGTATTTATGACCTTAAGCAACTATTCCTCAATGCCTTCATAAGGAGGTGCCGAAAGTCCTTGATTAAACACTTCCCTTTTTTCTTCCTTTATTATTCGTTACTGGAGCTATTCTATTTGTATCTCTAAGTTTTGCAATTGTGCAGTCAAGTCTCTTTTGCCTAAACCTGTCTCATCTGGAGGAGGAGGAAATTCTTCTCCATCATCCTGGCTCTCCTCACTTTGAAAAACCATTCTCCTCTGCTGACTGACAGTTCCTAGCCAGAATGTCCTCCTCACTTGAATTTTCTACATCTGACCCAGCCTTTTCTGACTTTTCATCCTGCAGCAGCTCTAGAACATTGGGAATTAAGTTAGAGAAAGACCAAGTCTTTAATGGTATAGCCTCCTCTAAGCTCGCAACATGAGGAGTTGCCAGAAGAAAGCCGGGTCACCTGCTTTTCGTTCACTTTCACTCCATTTCCTTGCAGTAAACATTTAACGACTGCACGTATTGCTGCTCCTGAGGTGGGGAATACCCCAAGTCCCTGCCAAAATCCTGGAATCCAGCCGAGTGGTGGCGGTGCACGCCTTTAATCCCAGCAATGGGAAGGCAGAGGCAGGCGGATCTTTGTGAGTTTGAGGCCAGCCTGGTCTACAAGAGCTAGTTCCAGGACAGGCTCCAAAGCTACAGAGAAACCCTGTCTCGGAAAAAAAAAAAAAAAATTCTGGATTCCTCACTTACACATGAGAGTACTTACCTGCAGTCCTGGAGAATACAGACCCCCCCTCTTCTTTGAGCCCCACATTTGGGCATCAGTGCTGGTAAACTGAGTCACACACGACAACTGAAGAAAGAGATACTCAAGGATGCAATGAAACTTTGAAAACTTTCTCAGAGCCCAATCCCTTGAGGCTGCCCCCGTTCCTTTAGGCTTCACTGCATCCTTGACTGGTTCTCTTTCTTCAGCTATCCTATGTGACTCAGTTTACCAGCAACTCAGCTTCATGTATCATCAGTTTTGTCAAAGATACTGTATTTTATTTTACAAAGTTTTTGTTTTATGTCATTTGTTGATACTTAAAATATATCACACTATTTTACCTATAAAAACACTGCTATGAGCCAGGCACATGGCACACACCTTTAATCCCAGCAGTTAGGAGGTGGAAGCAGGAGGATCTGAGTTTGAGCTTAGCCTAGTCTACATAGCAAATTCCAGGACAGCCAGAACTACATAGAAAGATCCAATCTCTTAAAAAGAAATAAACAAATAAATTAAGAATAAATAAAATAACAAATTTAGTTTGTAAATTGTCATGTGGGCTCTAGGAAACAAATCTGGGGCCTCTGCGAAAGCCATTACCCCATTCTTAAACTTTGTCAATAATTGTATTTAAAGTAAATTCTATTAGCTAAAACTGTATTAGCTTGAGCTAAATACCATCCTATACATTACACTTGTATTTGCACAGGTAATTATGTTTCACACAAGCTAAACTACATTATTCTCACTTTGCAAACAGGTTCTTGGTGGCTCAAGGTTCCATCTGGTCAACAGTAGTGCTAGGATATAACCCTTTACCAGAAGGTAAAGGCACTTGCTGCTATGCCTAATGACCTGAGGCCAATATTTGGGACCCACATGGTAGAGAAAACTGACTCCTACATGTTGTCCTTCACACATACATTGTGGCTGCACACCCCCACCTACATGCACACATATGTACAAAAGAGATAAAATGTAATAAAAATTAAATAAAAATAAGCCTAGACTTTTGTTTTTTCGGCCACTGAAGTGTTGCTTTCCCATTGCATCTCTAGCTAGTCTTTGAAAACAGGGCGTAAATTGTAATTTTGAAGAGGGACTGCTGCATGAGAAATATGCTAAAATGTGAGCAACTGCACACACCTCAGATGAAAGAGGAAACTATAACTAGATTACCAGTGCCAATTCCTAGGTCATAAAAGGAGAAAAATAACAACTAGGGTTTTGTTTTTTTTAACAAGCTTGAAGATGCACAAATTTCTTTAAAGCCTGCTCTCCAACGATATGGGCAGGAAAATATCTTTATTTCCAACAGACCTAACGGTTCCAACAAAAAGATTCACAAGCAGAGAACTAAGAAATGAACACCAGTGATATCAAATTGCTTTATAAAATCTTGAGTAAAAAAAGAAAGGAACTTATTTTTAAGGATTTCTCCTGACGATGTCAGCATTCTACCTTTCATGTGTAGCCTTAAAAACAGAAATTACTAATCAAGGTCTTTCCAAGAGAAAGGAGACTCCTCTCTGCAGAACATCCTCCAAATCTTTCACAGAACAGATCTGGAGTCTGATGATATAGCTCATGCCTTTTCTATGGAACACACCTAGAACATCTCAATCATCTCCATTCTTCCCAAACACAAACTGAAGGGCTCCCTCCTCATTTCTACATTACTTTAAGTGTATTTCTTTAGAAAACTAATCATTTTGTTAGTGCAATGATTTTCTCTAGTCTAAGAATTCCCAGTAGGTCTTGCTACTCTTCCTCATCTTCAAACTTAACACTTGTAAAAGTATTCCACAAAAGTCTGCTGAACAAGGAAAAAAGCTAAACATTTCAAAAGACAGAGTGACCTTTATGGGAAGAATTCTTTTATCAGTATAAAGCCTCCTAACATCCCATGCCTTCAATTCTGCTCCTTTCTCTTTAGGAATTTCCCATTAGCCCTAGGTCAAACTGAATAAAACAGTATGGTATCCAGAGGGCTGGAGAAAGAATTTCTCCACTTTGGCTTGCAACAGCTTCAAATGAAGTACTTGGAGATTATCTTGAAGGATCTAGGAAATAGTTCAGAATTATTTCAAGAGCTTGTACTGAGAAGCCATGACACAGGATGAGGTTTTAAATGCTCAGGGAACAGGGAAAATAATTCCACATTTTAAAGTCACAAAACTAGATGGGCGGCGGAGGCACATGCCTCCAAAACTACGGAGAAATCCTGTCTCAAAAAACGAAAAGAAAAGAAAAAAGTCCCCAAACAATAATTAGTAAAGAACATCACTTTATCTACTTCTACTAGTTAACAGAGAAAATAATAATGACAACCTCCAGTTTAAAAAAAGCATTAAGATCTGGGTTATATCCCTCAATTATAGAGGATAAACTTGTTGGCCAAACCACTTTGCACAATTATTTGCTTAAATAATCCTTAGAAGTAAATGTTGGGATAAAGAAGATTTCTTCTTCATAATTTAAGAAAATTCAAAACATTCACAGAAAGAAAATGCCTTAATAAATGTTTTATAAGCCATTCATTGGTTACCATTACCTTGGTTGGATTCCCCTGGGTCTTCTATATGAGCAATGACTTTGCTGAGATAAATGTCCTTCTTTTTTTCTAGATCTGACTGTGAAAACATCCTTGAAAAAAGCAAACCAGGTGGAAAAGTAGTCCATTAGAGCCATGAGCACAGTGCTTTGTAGAAATGTCACAAACTGATGGTAGTCAACCAACTTCCAGAGGCAATGCTAGTCAGTAAAAGTGAGACCAAGTATAGAACTTAAAAGTAAAGGAAGAAAAGAAATGTAACTCCTGATAACAAAGACTATCGGAAGGTAAAAATAAAGTAGCTCATAGAGAGAGAGAGAGAAAGCATTTGTTGGATAATTCAGGTTTGGCCAACTTCATCGAGCCACACAGAAAAAGTTGAAGGAGATTAAGGCAATCATGGTCCTAGCAAGAACAATTTCTGGTCCTCACTCATATTGACAGCATTGTTTGAAAAGAATCAGTAGATGAAAATATTGACACTGTAAATTTATTAGTGTTCCAAGTGGCTTGGTTTATGTGTTTTGGTATAATTTCACTCTTAAATTTACAAAGTGGGGCTGGAGAGATGGTTTAGCAGATAACCATGCTATGCTGGCTGCTCTTCTAGAGGATCTGTTCAATTCCTGCTACCCACAAAGCAGCTCACAACTGTAGCTCCAGTTCCAGAGGATCTGACACCCTCTTCTGGCTTCTTGTGGGTACTGTACATACATGGTATACAAATACAGACATAGGTAAAACACCTATACACAAAAAATAAAAATAAAATCTTGCCGGGCAATGGTAGTACATGCCTTTAATCCCAGCACTTGAAGGCAGAGACAGGTAGATCTAAGTGAGTTCGAGGCCAGCCTGATCAACAAAGCAAATACCAGGACAGCCAAGAATGCTACACAGAGAAACACTGTCTTGAAAAAACAAACAAACCAAAAAAGACTGGAAAAATTAACAGAGTTTTCCTCAATTAAGTGGAAAAAGAAATAAAACAAAACCCATAAAACTAAAATGTAGTGGCACATAATCTTATTTGTCATTTTTAAAATGTTTAAGGCAGAATAAATATGCCATAAGTGTATAACAATTTTTTTTCCTCAATTGTACTCTAAGGAGAGGAATTGGATTCAATCTATAAAGTAGCTTTTCCAGTACATTCAATTGAAAATGCCCATGTACATACAGACACTGCCATCTCCTGGTAACAAAAAAGTAAACTAAAAAGATGCCTCAAATTTGCAATCCTAATATTTGTTTCCAGTTGTATGCAAGAAAAGGAAAAATAAGACTAAACGGTTTAATAAATAATTTTAACCTTTTTTGGTTAATATTCTGACTTCTCATCAAATATGTGATCAGGACTTCTCATACATGAAAAAAATTTTGTATTTATATAATGTTTTACTAGCATGCCTTTTTTACTTTCAAAATAACCTTGGGAGGTTGTAGGAAAGGCATCATTAGTTTTATTCTGACACAGAAACTAAACTGAGAGATTATTTGATTTGCTCAAGATAACACAAATAGGAAGCTTCAGAATTTCAAGTTTGCTTATTTTTCCTGCAGGATTTCCTGCCCACCTGCCACCCCCATACTGAGAACATACTGGGAAGGGGAAAAAAGAAATGAAAGAGAACCACCAGAAACTCGAATGGTTCTATGTCACACTACCTGGTTCTGGTCTGCAGGACAGGAATTACTTTGCCCAGTCTTCTCTCAGCTTTCACCTCCCCAGGGTCCTTGTCAGAGGCATGCTGATTTGTTGTTGTTGGTTTCCAGAGCAGAAGGGAAAATAATAGGAAAGATAATTATCAGTTATAAGCAATTTTATAATTTCAGTTGTATCATACATATAGCTGAAAACATCATTATGAGAATATAATTTTTTTAGTTGTTTTGTTTTTCAAGAGAGGGTTTCTCTGTGTAGCTCTGGCTGTACTGCAATTCACTCTTGTAGACCAGGCTGGCCTCGAACTCACAGAGAAGTGCCTGCCTCTGCCTAGCAAGTGCTGGGATTAAAGGTGTGCACTACCATCACCCAGCAAAATTCTTTCCTTTTTTTGGTACTAGGGATTGATGCTAGCACATGCTAGTCAATACTCTACTGAGGAATTAAGTACATAGGAACTCTTTCTGAGTGAAAATAATTTCATGTCTACTGTGTTGAGAAAAATGTACTTACTCTGTTCGATGAACTGGACACAACTGGATTTCTCACTTCACACCCTGATTTATGTGATCCACTATTTTTCCATGATGATCCCCTGTTAGGTACCTCTGAATGGTTGGAGATCTGAGAGAACACAGGGGTAGGTTTCTTACTTTCAGATATATTTTTATCAGAGGCAGTTTGTTCGATGTTATTGTTTGAAGGAGAAGAAAGCAGGGGCCCATCCCAAGCAGAGTTATTGGGACTGACCCCTTCAGGTTCAGTGCAACGTTTACTCTCATTAGGATGAAGGTCATCTTCTCTCGTCTGTTCCCCAAGGGAGGCAGGTTTTTCCGTATCTTTGGAGGAATCAATCTTGTTCTTATCAAGCACAGGATCACAAACTGTTGGATTAAATGGTGCAACAACAGTTACTTTTATAAGATTCTTTTCAAGTACAAAGTGTCTGTTCAATGATTTACTAGGAGTTGGTCTATGACCAATTGATGTACTTAATTGAGGTAGTTTGAAGAAGCCAGGGGTCACAGGTGCTGGTCCCAAGCTGCGCAAAGAATTTTCTTGAGGAGTACCAGGTAGGGTCTGACACTTTCTGTCTCTACACTCATCATGCCCACCGTCATCCTTCAACAGCATCTCAATCTCTTCCTCTGTGAAACTGAAATGGCCATCGTCTTCTTCTCCATCGGAAAACTCCAACAAGGAGTCATCCAAGTCATCTTCATCAAAGGAACCCCAAGGACATGAGGCCCTTTCTTCAGGCAAAAAAGAGGTGCCAGAAGACTGTTCAGAGGGCAATAGTGAACACGTCATATCTGAAAAAATACGAGATTTTGCTAAACAACAACAAGAAATAACTTAAACTAACTCCAACCTACTAAATATACAGAGGAAGCATCCTAGTATCTCAAATCCTGTGCTTGCACTGTGATTTTTAACTTGAGAAATAATTAAGATATTATCCTTACTAGCATTATGAAAATAAAAGGTTTGAGTAAGATACTTTTTTTCTGATTATAATGACAAAATTAAGATGAATGATAATCAAGGTTAGTGAGGCTGTAGAGACAAGCACTCACTACTAGTAAGAGCACAAGTTAATATAATATTTTGTAAAGAGTAACTTGGTAATACCATCTAATCTAGCAATCTCACTTCTGGAAACTTATCATATAAAACTACCCATTACAAACATACATAAAAACACACAGATGTTCAAAGCAGTATTATTCAAAGTAGTCAAGTATTAGAGGCAATCTAAATGCCCACCTCTGAGAGAAATGTTTAATAAAATCATTCATGTCAAAAAACATTCAACTATTTAAAAGCACATTAAAGTAGCTTTATATGTACTACCATGGGTTGACTATAATATACAAGCAATTTACATGTTTTTTAAAATGTTCAGATACCAAATTTACACTTTTAAAAAAGAAAACACATACTACTTTTCTGTTTTGGTGGCTAAACCTGGAGCCTCACATATGTAATTCAAGACCTCTATACTGAATTACATCCTAGACTATTTTTTACTTTTTAATTTTAGGTAGGGTACTACTAAGATGCTCAGACTGGACCTAACAAAACCAAACTTTGAATCTGCAATCCTCCTGCCTTAGCCTCCATAGAAGCTGGGATTCCAGGCCTGTGATCTAACTGAAACATACTATTATTTTAAAAAAATAAAAAATCAGGAGGAAAGGGGGGGGGAGACAGATATAGTATAGATATGATACATATATAGATATGGGTATAGTGATATACGGCTTTAATACCAACACTCAGGAGGTAAAAGCAGGGGAATGTTATAGGACAGACAGAGCTATACAGTGAGACCCTGCTTCAAAAAACAAAAATTAAAATGTCTTCCATACTGTGTGGAGCTGCTGGAGCAATCTCTGCCTCTGCCACGAGACCAAATGGAAAAAGGTTTCAACTCCTGCCGCTGTTCCTTTCAGGAGACTTGTCAAAGTGATTGACTCCCACCTTCCTGCAGGCACAAAGAAAATTAAAGGATCTTCTCATCACTTTCAACTCTGCTAATTACAAAGTCAACTGCATTATGCTTCAAGGTGTTCCATCTATTAATTTTGATCTTGATTTTTTTTTAAATACCAGCAAGTTGGATTATTTTCAGTAAAGAACACCAAAGAGAAATCTTTAGAAGAAAAAAATTATGCAACTAAGAACTGGTTTAGTTCCTCACAAAAACTGTCACTTTCTTAAGATTATTGTCTGCTTTAGTGGGGTAAATAAGAACTGGGAGTCCTCAGCCCTAAGACCTGGCACTGTCACTAACAAGCCCGATCCATTTGTCGCTAAGCCATTTGGATTTCTTTCCTTGTAAAACAGAAAAACATTGGAGAAAGAGGACTAGGACATGTCAAAGATTCTACCAAATTCTAAAAATTATGACCATACCAAAAACCAATCAACCCCTTTCCCATTTTACACACACACACACACACACACACAAAGAAAAAGTCAACAAAGATATAAACACAAATACTGACTATTACAGGGTCAAGCATCAACATCGTTCTATTCTTTTTTTTGTCTTATTTTTGTCTTCTTTAAATTTTTTTTATGATTATTTATCTTTTATTTTATGTGCATTGATGTGAAGGTGTCAGATACCCTGGAACTGGATTTTCAGACAGTTGTGAGCTGCCATGTGGGTGCTGGGACTTGAACCCCGGGTCCTTGGAAGAGCAGTCAATGCTCTTAACCACTGAGCCATTTTTCCAGCCCCACATTGTTCTATTCTTTTTCTTCTTGGATGTTTACTTGTATAAATAAAATGTAACGTGGGGGTAAGGGATATGGTTGAGTAGTTTAGTGCTTGCTTAGTATACATAAGGGAGCTGGGATTAGACACACACCTTCACACCTACTTATGTGATACAGGGGATCTAGTAGAAGGCTTGGTTCGTGCTAGACAAGTGCTTGTTTTCTGAGAGTCTCACACAGCTCAGGCTGGCATCCAAATCACTGTGTAGTAGAGGATGATAGCCTTTAACTGATCCTCTTCCCTCCACCTCCCAAGTGCTAGAATTAAAGAAATTACCTCTATACTGTTTTCCTTTACAGCTTTTTTGTTTTGTTTTTCAAGACATGGTTTCTCTGTAGCTTTGGAGCCTGTCCTAAAACTAGATCTTGTAGACCAGACTGGCCTCAAACTCACAGAGATTCTCCTGCCTCTGCCTCCGGAGTGCTGGGATTAAAGGCATGCAGCACCACCGCCCAGCTCCTTTACAGCTTTTTAAACTGTAAAGTTTCTTTCACTTTACTACCCTCTGTATCCTTGACTTTCAGCTTTAATTCATATATTCCTTCAGTAATAATTTTCTGAGCTACATAGTATGTCTCCATGATTTTTTTCAAAGATTTATTTATTATGTATACAATGTTCTGCCTGCATGCCAAAGGATGGCACCAGATCTCATTAAAGATGGTTGTGACCATGTGGTCACTGGGAATTGAACTCAAGACCCCTGGAAGAGCAGTCAGTGCTCTTAACTTCTGAGCCATCTTTCCAGCCCATCTCTATGATTAAAGAAAAAAAAATTCCCAAATTCCCAAAACATATAAGTCTTACGGTTTTTGGCTGTTATTGTTTGTTTTTTGAAATAAGAGTTTCTCAGAACAGCCCTGGCTGTTCTAGAACTTGATCTGTTGACCAGACTGTCCTCAGACTCAGAGATCCACCATGTTCTACCTCCCAAGTACTGGGATTAAAGGTGTGCACCATCATGCCTGGCAACATATAATAATGTTAGCAAGGAAACACCAAAAATTAAGTTCTAATATGAGATAGTATAAAATGGTATAGAAAATAAAGCACTAAATAAAAAAGAGGAGAAAATACAGCACTTTAAAATTAGAAGGGATCTAGTTAACTCAGAGTGGTGGGCCATGCATGGTGGTGCATGTCTTTAATCCCAGCACTAAGGAGAAATGGGCTGAGTTCTAGGTCAGCCTGGCCTTCATACAGAGTCAGCCAAAGCTATAGAATCCCCAAACATCCTCCATCTAAATAAATAGATAGATAGATAGATAGATAGATAGATAGATAGATAGATAGATAGATAGATAGAAAGAAAAATAAAGTAAAATAGTGTGATTAGGGCAAAAAGAAAAGGTGTATTTTTGGTCCAATGGCTAAGTTATTTTCTAGACTAAAATCATCTTTTTGACAGCAGTAACAGTGCTTACTTTTAGAAAGGTGAAAGTACTGTTAAATTTAAGAAACCTTGTGCCTCAGGTGGTGGTGGTTCATACCATTAATCCCAACGCTTGGGAGGCAGACAGGTAGATCTGAGTTTGAGGCCAGTGTGGACTACCAAGTGAGTTCCAGGACAGTCATGGCTGTTACACAAAGAAATCCTGTCTCAAAAATCCAAAAAGAAAGGAAAGAAAAGAGAAAAAGAAAACTTGTGCCAGCTGTAGTAGTGCATACTATAATCCTCCTACTTGGAAACCAGAATGGGCTACAGCAAGGATGATTACTATCACCACCCCAAAAAACCAACAATTTCAGATTATTAAACATAAGTATCAAGGCGCTGAGCTCAAGCAACTTTTTGTTTTTTCGAGAAAAGGTTTCTTTGTGTAATCCTAGCTGTTCTGGAACTTGTTCTATAACCAGGCTGGCCTTTAATTCACAGAGATCCACTTCCCTAGGGCTATGATTAAAGGTGTGCACCATTATCACCCAGCTTACAACTACATTTCTTAGAAACCCTTCCTGGGCCACTGCCCCCTCATCCCAATCATTTCAAAAAATATAGTTCAAGCACTTGTGTGGTCAAATGCACTGTTCAGAAAGTTTTCATAGTGAAAGCTGGGAGAAATAAAATAACTTAGGTTCACTAAAAAATAATGCCAGGACAAAAATCCAAACCAAATACTAATTCGAAAGGCAATCTTTTCCTAACTCCTATGACAGACTTGCCTCTAGGGTCAGTTTGCAAACTGAAAAATTAGAATTCAAACATAGGCTTCTAAATTTAGTATGCTTGCTAATAAACTATGGGATATGTAGATATTGGAGGCAGATTTTTATTACTTGGAAAAATAATTTAGGATACCTTAAAATGCATCAAAAGCTGCCCTTGACCTCACAGATGTTGGCCATCATCCAAAGACACAAAACTGACTCTTTTGAGCTTCTTTCATAATGTCCCAAATGGCAAAAGCATCCAAAAACAACATCATAAACATACAGAAAGACAGAAATAAATTTTAACTCACACAAATCATTTTCTTTGCAAATTTCCTGAGTTTCAAAAATTCTTTATATTATAATTTAAAACAAGTAAGTAGTTGTTTGGTGGTGCCTTTAATCCCAGCACTCCGGAAGCAGAGGCAGGTGGGTCTCTGTGAGTTCAAAGCCAGCCTGGTCTGCAGAGCTATTTCCAGGACAGGCTCCACAGAAAAACCCTGTCTCGAAAAACCAAAAAAGACAAAACAACAACAAAACCTTGTAACATAATGAACCTCCACAGTCACCACTCAGCCACCTGAACCACAACCTACTGCCAACCTCTAACTCCACTCATTTCTCTCCTTTACTGGATTATCCTGAAACAAAGCTCAGGCACTACATCATTATTAACTCAATGGCTAAAAGCATTGGCTGCTCTTCTAAAGGACCTGGGTACCATTCCTAGCACCTACATGGAGGCTCACAACTGTCTGTAACTCTAGTTCCAAGGGATCCCACAACCTCTTCTGATCTCTGCACATACTAGACATACATACAGGCAAAACATCTATACACAAAAAAACAATAAAAATTTTAAACTTCTGAACTCCTGTTCAAATTTCTAATTATCATATTCATATTTTTCAGGCTCAAGGAAAAGCAAAGAAACTAGCATCTAAATAAGGCCTACACAAATGTAACAGACTGATGTCTTCTTAAGATTTCCCACCTTTTCCCCACCGCAATTATCTATTAAAGAAAGTTTCTGGGGCTGGAGAGATGGCTCAGAGGTTAAGAGCATTGCCTGTTCTTCCAAAGGTCCTGAGTTCAATTCCCAGCAACCACATGATGGCTCAAACCATCTGTAAAGGGGTCTGGTGCCCTCTTCTGGCCTGCAGGCATACACACAGACAGAATATTGTACACATAATAAATAAATAAATATTTTAAAAAAAGAAAGTTTCTATGGATATATATACACATCATGAAATTATAAAAATATTCACAAGAATAAAAAACACCAAATTCAGGATAGCAAGAACCAGTAGTGGCAAGGAAATAAGAATGGCAATAGACATAAATCAGTCTTGTTATTTGTTTTGTTTTGTTTTGTTTTTTGAGACAAGGTCACATATAGCCCAGGTTATCATGAAACTTGCCAAGGATGTAGCCAAGGATGACCTAAATTTCCTGATTCTCCTTCCTTCTTTTGCCTCCATAGAACTATGGGAACCATACCAACTTTTCTGTTTTTCTAATCAGTACAAGAAACTCAACAAATATGGAGATGGAAGATAAACCTGGACAGTAAATATAATTATTATGCTACCTTGCTTAATTTTTTATATATTTGAAATATGTAATAAAAATTACTTTTAGGGTAGAGGATGGCTGGATGACTCAGTGAGTAAAGGTACTTGCCCCATAGGACTGGTGATCTGAATCCAATCTCTAGAGCCCAGGTAAAGACAGACAGAAAGAACTGAATAGGTTTTTGGACCTCCACTCCCACACCACGCACAGAAATTCACACATCACACACTACATAAATTAATAAAAAAAAAAATGGAGGGCTCGAGAGATGGCTCAGTGGTTAAGAGCACTGGCTGCTCTTCCAGGTCCTGAGTTCAGTTCCCAGCAACCACATGGTGGCTCACAACCATCTGTAATGAGATCTGGTGCCCTCTTCTGGCATGCAAGCATATATGGAGGCAGAATGTTGTATACATAATAAATAAATAAATAAATCTAAAAAAAAAAAGAAAAAAAGAAAAAAAATGGAGCCAAGTGGTGGTGGCTCATGCCTTTAATCCCAGCATTTAGAAGGTAGAGGCAGGCAGATCTCTGAGTTCTGAGTTCAAGGTCATCCTGGTCTACAGCAAGTTCCAAGACAGTCAGGTATATATATAGAGAAACACTGTATTGAAAATAAAAAAACAAAACAAAAATTTGGTTTTGGCCTTTTTGAGACAGGTGTATTGGTAGAATACACCTTTAGTCCCATCACTCAAGAGGCAGAAACAGGTGGATCTTTGTGAGTTCAATGCCAGCCTGATCTACACTGTTAGTTCCGGGCCATCCAGGGCAGCAGAGACCCTGTCTCAGAAAAACAAAACACAACACCAAAAGTTATAAAGCCAGTGTTAAAAATATCTCAAATACACCCTAAGTCTCAATATTTCTCCCTATAAGATAGGAAACTTCACAGCACATCAGTTTCATGAGGTTATTAACAAGAATTAAGTAAGACTTAGCACACTACAGATACAATTAAGTGGTGGCTACGGTTATTATCTCAACCTGCAACCTACATCTCACATCAAGAAGCTTAAGCAAAGGGGTGGTAGGAAAAAAAGCTAAACTGGTAAGAAACTTCCCCCAGATCCATTTTAGAAATTATTCAGTATAATCTACTGAGTGAAAAATTTAACCATTGTCACTAGACTGGATGGATAACTGAAACATCAGATAAATTCTCCAAATTAATGGCCCATGAAATATCTTGCATTAGAGGAACTGGGCTAAATTCCAAAGACCTCATTCATTTGAACTCTCTGAACTTCAATATAAATGAGCCCACTCATCTGTATTCCTAGAATTTAGGAGGGTGAGTTCAGGGCTACCTGAGGCTCCATTTCCATTTCAAACCAGTATGGGCTACACATGAGAAAGGAGGGAGGGGAAGGGGATTTTTGAGATAAAGTCAATTTGAACTTTCAAGGGAGGAAAACCTTCAATAAAACTGAAGCTATAGCAAGGCACGGTGGCACACGCCTTTAATCCCAGCATCTGGGAGACAGAGGCAAGTGGACTTCTGAATTCCAGCCCAGCCCCATCTACACAAGCGAGCTCCAGGCTAGCCAGTACATAGTGAGGTCCTGTCTCAAAACATCAAGAATAATAAACAACTGGAAGCTCTTATGTTCCACAATCACTTCTCTCCCATCACCGGCACTTGGGCCTGGTAAATCCTTTAAATATGGCGGATTCTTTATTTTTAAAGGGAGAATATTTTCTTAGTCCCAAATTCTCTTAATTCTGCTCCCCATCTCTGCCGTGACCCTATTCTGTCCTTCCATGTCTCTCACCTGTCCACCCCCTTCTCCACACGTTAGTGTACCGCCCCCTCTCTGTTCTCTAACCTCCTGGTTGCAACCTCAGAAACTGCTTCCCTATCTATTTTTATCTTACCTCAAAAAACCTACTGCCTTCGAGCACAAAGCCTCATTGTATTTAGGACAGTAAGACTCCCATGCCAGGTGTACACTACACATCCTCTTTCGAGACTCTTAAAACCAAAACCATTACCAAACTGGCTCTGGTACGCAGGGTCAAAAGCAAGAATCATTTTGCGGAGGGGACTTCTCGCGGGCCTTTGAGTTCCAATCTCTCCTAAGCACAACACACGTGAAGCACACAGCATACCAAAAAAAAAAAAAAAAAAAGCCTTATCACCGAAATGAAGCCAATTGTACAAACTAAAACAAAGTGAACTGGAATTATCAGAAAGAATTTTGCAACTCCCTCTGTGGAACGGCAAACGCTGAAAAACGCAAAGACAACCCGTTTGGAAATCTCTGCTTTAGGTAACAATTTCCGAGACTCCGGTGCCAAGCGTCCCACACCGGCCCCAGGCAGCAGGATTCTTCTACACTGAATCAACAGGTCTCTTTTATGAGAATGGTCTATTAAAGCTTGGGGCCCCGAACAACCACGAAAAGAACAAAAATGAGGGCAGCCAGGGAAGTAGGTCCTCTCTTGGTGGCCCTCTTCCGGGCTCATCCTGAGATGTCTGGGGGCGTTCCCTAAGGCCCTGGATGGACGAGCGAGGGTGGCCCAAGGATGCCTTCGCTAAGCTCCCTCCTGGCCTCCCCTGGAGGAGTACAGCCGCCGCGCCCAGAGCCTTTGCACTTCCCTCCTCCCACTCGGGAGAGCGAGTACTCGCCTCCCTGCGGATAACGGGAGAAGCGCGGCTTTTCCCCGCGCCCCTCCCCCCGGGGGCGACACAGGTCCCCGCCGGCGCGGGCGGTGCACCCAACCTCCCGGGCACCGGCGTCGACAGCCACACCTCAGCAGGCTGCGGCCCGCGGCGGCCGGGAGTGGGTCGTCCTCCTCCCGCCCCGACGCGCCGCGGGAAGCCCGCCATCCTCGCTCTCCCTAGCAACACCCACCGCGGCGCGAGCACTGGGGCGAGCTAGACCCCTTCCTTCCCCCACGGGCAGGGCCGGCGACCTCGCTCGCAGCCCGAGGACCTGACAGCTCTTTCCCTCCTCGGAATGAGGGGCGTCACTCGCCCACGGAGGCGGAGGTGGGGGGCAGGGATAACCTCCCCGCCCGCCATCACCTCAGGAGCGAGAGCCAGCCCTTCCCTCAGCGAGGCGAGGACCTCACTACTCCTCGCGGGGGCAGACGATGTTCGCGGCCCCGTGGAGAAGCAACAGGCGACCACGACCCGCCGCCCAGACGACGAAAAGCCGTCCCTCCCGCTCTTCACCTCCGGAAGCCGGGCCAAAGCCTGGGCGAGCGGCTGCACCTCACTCCGCCCCCTGCGCCATTTTATCGCCCCCTTCTCGACCTCCCCCACCCCGAGGCAGCGAGGCCACCACCAGGGGGAGGGCAACCAAACAGTGATTGGCAGGAAACCGCCCCGCCCCCGAGAGGGTTGCGTCCCGGGCAGCCTTCCCAACCCCGCCTTCCGCACCGCCTACCCGTCCCTATGGCTCCGCCTCTTCCTGTTTCATCGATTCGTTCGACTCTCTGCTGCTCCTGACTCCGGGCTACTCCTGGGCGGAAGTGCATCTAGGCCTAGCAAGCGGAGCTACGAGCTCAGCTGATGCAACCTGAAGGGACTAGCGTGACAGTTCCCGGCACGCGGCGGCGGCGGCGGGCGAGGAAAGGGCGCGGGTGCCAGCTGAGCGCGGGAAGCGGAGAAAGCGGAGCCATGGGGGATGCTCCTAGCCTTGAAGAGAAGCTGCACCTTATCACCCGGAACCTGCAGGTCGGGCCTTGGGATTGGAATGCGCCGTTGGGTACTGGGGACTTGAGTCCAGGGATCCCGAACCCAGTCCCGGGTCCTAAGTGTGTAGGGCCTCGGTCTCCGCGCCTGGGCGGCTCTAAGGTCCTCTGCTAGTTGATAAATAAGTCAGTCAAGCAGCCATTCCCAGGATGCAAAAGAAGCCACCACACGGGGTCTCCTTTTGTGTGCACTTATCTTGTGCTGTAGCCGTTCTGGGGCTAGGAACTCCATTCCATCATCCTAGTTAATATATGCCGGGCGCAGTGCTAGGCTCTAGGGAGTCAGGGCCGTGCCCTCTCAGAGCTTTTGTGGAAAGAACTAGAAGTTTAAAACGACTCATAACTCAAAGCACTAAAGATAAAGCCAGTAGTGAAAGTTCCTGTGGCTGGAGTTCTGAAAAGAAATGGGGCCGGGTGGGCTGAAGAGATAGCTCAAAGGTTCAAAGCCCTTGCTTTTACCGAACCCCGATTCGGTTCCCAGCACCCATGTCAGGCACCTCAACACGGCCTGAAGCTTCAGAGGACCTGACATACCCTCTGGCCTCCATGGGTACACAAACGTAGGAAAAAAAAAAAAAGGAGTCGGGCGGTGGTGGCACATGCCTTTAATCCCAGCGCTCACGAGGCAGAGAGGCAGGTGGATCTGTGAGTTCGAAGCCAGCCTGGTCTACAGAGCCAGCGAGTTCCAAGACAGCCAAAGCTACACACAGAAAACCCTTTCTTAGGGGGGAAAAAAAGAAAAAGAGAGAAAGAGAGAGAGAAAGAGAGAGAGAGAGAGAGAGAGAGGAGGAAGAAGGAAGGCTTCCTCTGAGGATGTGTCCTCCAAACTGCCCAACAACGTGTGCGTCTTCTATTCACTTCGCAGGTGCTTCTGTTGTCAACAACTACAAGTGTAGGAGTTAACCAGAAAAATCCAAAACAGCAATTTCAGACAGAGGGACCCAAGGGGAGCAAGAATCTTGTGGTTCAGAGAGAAGGCTAGGGGTGTGACTCACTGGTTGAGCAACTGAGAGGCAGGCTCTGGGTTCGGTCCTCAGAGCCCTCACACACCCAGCTCCAAGAAGACTGATTTCTCTGGAGTAGGGCATATCGTGTGCTGCTCAGACAGACTCGCTGCCACAGCACCGTCTCTATCCTGCTCTTCCTCCACAGAACTTACCACTGTCGTTTGACTTGTCTGTTTAGGAGAGACAGACAGGAGCCCAGTCATGAGCGCCTTGTAAAGTTTGTTTTACAGGCCAGATCAAGACTGGATTAGACTCATGCTAAGGGCAGGCGCAGCACTGAAGCGTCTTTCTGGCCTTTATTTTATTTTATTTTTTATTTAAGCTGTAATTCACAGTTCCTGGGTGTGGTGTGGTGCATGCTACTGTAATTTCAGCACCTGAGAGGCAGAGACAGGAGACTCACTTCAACTTGGAGTCCAGCCTAGTTTACATAGTTCCTGGCTAGCTAGGGCTATTCATGGAGAACCTGTGTCTAAGAGCACTCACCCCTTTAAAGGGGACAGTTTAGTCAATGTCTGTATATCCACAGGGTTGGTTGTTTTCCCCAGTGGAATGTGAACCCACCTGAGCATGGTGGCACAAACCTGTTTTCCCAGCGTGCAGTTAGGAGGTAAGGATCGGGGATTGAAGGCCACCTTCAGCGTAGCTGAATTTAAGGCCAGCTTGGACTGCGAGAGACCCTGTCTCAAAGAAAAAGAAAAATCTGTAACATTAGCTAACAAGTACCCATTCCCCATTCCACCCCCAGCCCTAGGGAAGCACTAATTGACTTTCTGTCTCTTACATATATACCTCTCCTGGACAGTTCCTAGCACTAGAATCATATATCATGTGCCCATTGATGTCTGCTTTTTTCACAGAACAGTGCTGGACAGGTTCAGCTGTGGTTTTGTTCCTCTTTGAATTTCATTCCTCATGTTTTCTTTTCAGCCCCTCCCCACTTTGCCCCCAACTTCTCCCCTTCCCCACCACTCCTCCTTTTCCTCCTAACCTTCTCACTTTCCTGCCCTGCTTTCTCTTCTCTAGTTCCCCTTCTTCTCCTAACATATCCTCTCCCCTTCCCAGGCCTCTGTGTCCCCTCACCTCATCCCACTGGCCTATTCTGACCTTTGATCTCTTTCAGGAAACTGCTTCCCTGTGGGAAAGGGCTCTAGTATATAGGGGAGAATTAGGAGGGAAACAGAAACCCAGAGACAAAGACACCCCAAAGTGAGAGTGAGAGCACACACTGACCAGGCATTTACAGAGACGGAAACAGGGACAGAGACAGCAAGAAGCAGATGCCTCTGCTCTTCATTTATTGTTTAAACCTTTTTTAAAAAAAGAAAATGGGGGCTGGAGAGATGGCTCAGTGGTTAAGAGCACTGACTGCTCTTCCAGAGGTCCAGAGTTCAATTCCCAGCAACCACATGGTGGCTCACAACCATCTGTAATGAGATCTGGTGCCTCTTCTGGCATGAGGGCATACATGGAGGCAGAATGTTGTATACATAATAAATAAATAAATAAATCTTTTTTTAAAAAAAAAAAGAAAGAAAGAAAATGGGAGACTAGAGAGCTGGCTCGAACTTTAAGAGCGCTTGCCGTTCTTGCAGACAGCCCAAGTTCAATTCCCAACACCTACATCAGGTGTCTTGCAACCACCTAAAACTCTAGTTCCAAGGGATCTGATGCCTCTGGCTTCTGCAGGCACCTGCACTCATACACATATACTCAAATGCAGAGACACTTAATAAAAATAAGTCTTTAAAAAGAAAAGAGAATGATACCTACTGCCTGCTGTCAAGGCTCAAACTCAGACATCTCGGACCTGGGAGCCCCTTGTCTCCTCTCTCTTAAGCCTCTGCCCAGGCTAACAGTGATTGGGTCTGATCTACCTTCAAAATAGATTCACACACAGATCTGTAGTCTTCCTTTCTCTTTCCTTTTTGAGGCTAATATTCCATTATATGAACATACCACATTGTATTTATCCATCTATTAACTGATGGACATGGAGTTATTCTAGTCACAACTTGTTGGTCTTTTTTTTTGTATCTTTTATTTTTTGAGACAGAGCTTACATCAATGGTAGAATTAAAGAATTAAAGAAAGATACTTCCTTTTAGAATAGTTTAGAACAAGAGAGAAGCTAAAATCTGAATTCTTTACTTCTCTCCCTGTGTCTTCATTCTGTCTGTAGTTTGTGGTCTGTGGCCTGTCTGCTGTCTGGTTGTGTGTGTCTGATGTCTGTTCCTGTTGCCTTTCTCTAACAAAAGGGTTTGCTCTGAGTCTACTGAACAGCACAGAAATGTGGCACAGGAACGGAATGAGGAACACTTTCCTCCAGAGATCTTTAGCAGAGTTTTACAAAGGAAGAAGTTA